TTTGCCAGCGGCCACATGTGGAAAATTACTATCCTGTAAATTCATGCAATGATCAAGCTGTGAGACTCAGGCACCTTGCTGTTATGGAAGAGTAGGGTTCTTACCGGATACAGTAACCCTTCAGGACAAAGAGGGTTGAAGCTTTGGCTTCTGTTACACGCCCATACACTCTAAAGTTGAAGCCAGCAGTGCTGGTATAGCTGAAGTGATGTGAGAACACCCCTCGCACACCAAGCTTCAGGTTAATTTGAGAAGAATAGTGTTGGGCAGAGCCTGTTGGAACCATGATATTTGCACTGCAATTCTGCCCATCAGCACCTCAGGAACATGGAAGGATGAAGGCATCTTTCTCATTCAGAGCCCTCTGACCATAGATCTTTATGAAGAAATGTTTGGCAGCTCAGCTGAGAAGCCGGGTTTTTATTTTAACCTTTAAGAATGACGCCAATTTCACAGCTGTTAATGGTATGTGGAACTGACTCTTTCCAATGCAAATTATCCATCAAGGGCTAAATGCTTGGAGGGAGAAATCTCCATATTAATGTGCTGGTATCTTTGTCCATAAGTATCTAATTTTATGCCTTAATCAGATCACCTCCTTTTTCTGATTAAAACGCTTTTTAAAGAAAAAAAAATGATTTGGATATACATTGGGAGCTATTGGCCTCTGAGATTTTGGAAACAGGAGTGGAAATGTGGATTTTGCTAAGAAAAAAAAGGGGAAATGTTGCCAGCTCAAGTAGATCCCCAGCTAGTATGGCTAGTGATCAGCAGTGATCCCATCCCTGTGTTCTCATATATACTGGATTCCAGTCTCTTTCTTCCACCTCAACAAAATGATTTCCACAACAAGTTGTCCTAAACTCTTTTAAGAAGAGGAAGGTGTGTGACCTAGCAGCCTAACTTGAAACACCCACCCACCCCAAATAAGGACATCAGAACTGAGCATTGATCTTTACGTTAATTATAAGAATCCATCTCCCTACCCCCAAAAGACCCACAATAGATAAAAGAGATCACACTGAAAGATAAATGTACAGTAATCTTTTATTATCCCCCTCCAGACTTCCAAGATGCTTTGATGCTTTGTTAGGGGGCTCATAGAATCATAGAATCATAGAGTTGGAAGAGACCACAAGGGCCATCGAGTCCAACCCCCTGCCAAGCAGGAAACACCATCAGAGCACTCCTGACATATGGTTGTCAAGCCTCTGCTTAAAGACCTCCAAAGAAAGAGACTCCACCACACTCCTTGGCAGCAAATTCCACTGTCGAACAGCTCTTACTGTCAGGAAGTTCTTCCTAATGTTTAGGTGGAATCTTCTTTCTTGTAGTTTGGATCCATTGCTCCGTGTCCGCTTCTCTGGAGCAGCAGAAAACAACCTTTCTCCCTCCTCTATATGACATCCTTTTATATATTTGAACATGGCTATTATATCACCCCTTAACCTCCTCTTCTCCAGGCTAAACATGCCCAGCTCCCTTAGCCGTTCCTCATAAGGCATCGTTTCCAGGCCTTTGACCATTTTGGTTGCCCTCCTCTGGACACATTCCAGTTTGTCAGTGTCCTTCTTGAACTGTGTTGCCCAGAACTGGACACAGTACTCCAGGTGAGGTCTGACCAGAGCAGAATACAGTGGCACTATTACTTCCCTTGATCTAGATGCTATACTCCTATTGATGCAGCCCAGAATTGCATTGGCTTTTTAGCTGCCGCGTCACACTGTTGGCTCATGTCAAGTTTGTGGTCAACCAAGACTCCTAGATCCTTTTCACATGTACTGCTCTCAAGCCAGGTGTCACCCATCTTGTATTTGTGCCTCTCATTTTTTTGCCCAAGTGCAATACTTTACATTTCTTCCTGTTAAAATTCATCTTGTTTGTTTTGGCCCAGTTCTCTAATCTGTCAAGGTCGTTTTGAAGTGTGATCCTGTCCTCTGGGGTGTTAGCCACCCCTCCCAGTTTGGTGTCATCTGCAAATTTGATCAGGATGCCCTTGAGTCCATCATCCAAGTCGTTGATAAAGATGTTGAATAAGACCGGGCCCAAGACAGAACCCTGTGGCACCCCACTAGTCACTCTTCTCCAGGATGAAGAGGAACCATTGATGAGCACCCTTTGGGTTCGGTCAGTCAGCCAGTTACAAATCCACTGAGTGGTAGCATAGTCAAGACCGCATTTTACCAGCTTCTTTACAAGAATATCATGGGGCACCTTGTCAAATGCCTTGCTGAAATCAAGGTAGGCTGCATCCACTGCGTTCCCTTCATCTACCAGGCTTGTAATTCTGTCAAAAAACGAGATCAGGTTAGTCTGACATGACTTATTTTTCAGAAATCCATGCTGACGATTGGTGATCACAGCATTCCTTTCTAGGTGCTCACAGACTGTTTGCTTAATGATCTGCTCCAGAATCTTCCCTGGTATTGATGTCAGACTGACTGGGTGGTAATTATTTGGGTCCTCTCTTTTCCCCTTTTTGAAAATAGGGACAACATTTGCCCTCCTCAGTCTGCCGGGACTTCGCCTGTTCTCCCGGAATTCTCAAAGATGACTGCCAGTGGTTCTGAGATCACATCTGCCAGTTCTTTTAATACTCTTGGATGCAGTTCATCTGGCCCTGGAGACTTGAATACATCTAAACTAGCCAAGTATTCTTGTACTATCTCCTTAGTTATTCTGGGCTGTGTTTCCTTTGCTGAATCATTTGCTTCAAATTCTTCAGGTCGGGCATTGTTTTCTTTATCGGAGAAGACTGAGGCAAAGAAGGCATTGAGGAGTTCAGCCCTTTCTGTGTCCCCTGTTTGCATTTCACCATCTTCTCCTCTGAGTGACCCCACTGTTTCTTTGTTCTTCCTTTTGCTACGAACATACCCATAAAAGCCCTTTTTGTTGCTTTTAACCTCTCTAGCAAGCCTGAGTTCATTCTGTGCTTTAGCTTTTCTGACTTTGTGTCTACACGTGCTGGCTATTTGTTTGAATTCCTCTTTGGTGGTTTCCCCCCTTTTCCATTTTTTGTACACATCCTTTTTTAATCTTAACTCAGTTAAAAGTTCTTTAGATAGCCACCCTGGCTTCTTTAGGCACCTTCCATGTTTCTGTCTCATTGGTATTGCCTGAAGTTGTGCTTTTACTATCTCTCTCTTAACAAACTCCCAGCCATCATGAACTCCCTTTCCTTTTAGTATTACTGTCCATGGGATCTCACATTGCCTACCCACCCTGCCCCCCCCCCATGCACACATTTGTTTGCTTCAGGACAGCCTTGCATGCTGCAAAATGTGGCCCCGGCCACCCAAGAAATTAGTTTTTCAAGGGGCACCCTATACTTCGGCGGGGGCACTTAGGCCAGGGCCTCAAATGCAGTGCTCTGGGCCTCTCTGTCTGGCCCCTTGGATTATCCCCAGGCCACACCACTCCCTGCTCTAGTTTCTCTCTTCCCTCCATCTAGAAAAGCAAGAAACATTCTCACAGTTCAAGGACACATCCCACCCAGGCAAATACACTGGAGTGTCTTGGCCTGACTGGAATGTGTCTCAGAACTCTGATAACCCCTTTCACTTGCCTGGATGGAGAATAGGGATGGGTGTGTGAGCATGTCTAAAAACTAGCCTATTGTACAGAAGTAAATATTTGCATTAATTTCTCTGCCCACTTTTGCCTTGGCCCCATTTACTGCTTGACGTGCGGCCCCTGGAATGGCAACATATATGAGGCCACAAGCTAGCTACCCATCATCTAGGTGGTCAAGCCAGCCATGCAAAGGGTGCACATGAGAAGGGTGCAGGGGGGTCTGTCCTAAGGAATCCCCAGTGTTATGGAGCTCCACATTTGAGGGGGGAGAACAGGCCTGAAGCTCCCCCCTCCCTGTTTTGTAGATTTAACAAAAATCTGGGACACGTGTGAAATATATACTTCACCTTTGGCTAATGAGTTCTATGCCTACACCGCCAACATTTCACAGAAAGAGGGAGGGCTGGCCCACCCATGAGGTGAGGTAAAAGCACCTGCCTTGGGCAGTGTCAGCTCCAGAGGCAGAGCCCCCGCGGGTGCCCTGCCCACGCTGCCACCTTTACAGTTGGTGGAGAAGTCATGCCAGAACCTGCCGGGATGCTTCAGTGGAGGCAGCACAGTAGGGCAGGGGCAGGGTGGGGCAGGGCAGGGCAACACTTCCCACTTCACCCCAAGTGAGCTATGCTTTTGACACGCTTATTGTTTTTCTGTGATCACTGTCCAAGCCCTACACTCCACCATTCTGTACTCCAGGGATGGGGAATCCATTGACCTCCAGGCTTGCTGGACTCTGGCTTCCATCATTCCTGATTATTGGCCATGCAGCTGTGGCTGATGAAGGTTGGAGTTCAATAACACATGAAGGTCCATGGGTTCTCCTCATCTCTACTCTATGCCATTCGCTGTGCACTATATTCGCACATAGGTTCTCTTGGTTAAATATATGCTAAGAAGCCATGATTGTCCTATGATGCATTCCCCATAGTGGCAATATGGGAAACGGCAAGCTGAGCACTGCCTAAACCTTCATTGTTTCAAATGTGCACTGGAGACAAGATGCACTAGATTTCTGCATGTACAGTGGTACCTCGGGTTAAGTACTTAATTCGTCCCGGAGGTCCATTCTTAACCTGAAACTGTTCTTAACCTGAAGCACCACTTTAGCTAATGGGGCCTCCTGCTGGTGCCGCGCTGCCAGAGCCCGATTTCTGTACTTATCCTGAAGCAAAGTTCTTAACCTGAAGCACTATTTCTGGGTTAGCAGAGTCTGTAACCTAAAGCGTATGTAACCTGAAGCGTATGTAACCCAAAGTACCACTGTAGTGTGGATGTTCTGCCACTGAGTTACAGTCCTTCCCCCAGAAGAAGAGTCAGGTGTATCTTCTTCCAATGTATTGTTGAGTAACTGATCAGTTAACTCTGGATAGATAAGAAAAGGGCTAGATTTTTCAAAATGAATGGCTATTCCACTATTATAGAGCATGGACTGCTGGATAGCTCAGTTGGTACAGCATGCAACTTTTAATCTCAGGGTCATGGGTTTGAGCCCCACATTGGGCGAAAGATTCCTGAATTGCAGGGGGTTGGACTAGATGATGTTGGAGCCCCTTCAAACTCTATGATTGTATGATTCCATTTTTCAGCAGATGGAATGCAACTGAAATACATGGAACCTGACTTTATTAACTCACCTGCATCTGTGGGATTTCTTCAATCAGTTTACACTCCCTGCACTTACCCACCTATCCAAATCAACACAAGCAGTCGAAATTGTCATTACCATGGAAACAAAATCAGATTCAACAGTAGCAACTTATTGCATCATGTTTCTTTCTGTTCTGGAATTTGTGTAGTAGTGAGATGGGGAAGCCACAATTGACAATTATTATTTTAATCTACCCACCTAGCAGGTTCCTAAGTTCATTGGCATGCATGTCACGGTGATCTCCAGGCTATTTGGCAGAGTCTTAACTATTTGAAATAATTTTCTTTCTTTTTTTATAAAAACTATCTTTGGGGGATATTTTATACAAGGGAATTTAGGGAGCTGCCTTACACTGAGTCAGACCAGTGATCCATCTACCTCACTGTTGTCAACACTGACAGGTAGAGACTTTCCAGAGTTTCTCCCAGCCCTACATGGAGATGCCTAGAAGTGAATCAGGTATCTTTTGCAGGCACTACTACAGGTAGACTACAACCCTTTCCTTGATTTTGTGAGTTTTGTTCAAGTCTTGGCAGTGCCTTACACTGCTATGGCAATTCTCCCTGGAAATGCGCTGCCACCGCACACAACTGTTTGGGGCAGCCTACACGTAAGAGCTGTAATGTGTACAGCAGGTATCTGCATAAAGAGACAGAAGGCTGGTTCAGGCATGTATGTTCCCTGCTTGATGACTGCAAAAATCAAGGAATGGTTTAACGGGCCATCACAGGTAGCACACACTGCAGAGAGAACTTCCATATCACTGCAGAGAAAATGATTTTCAGTGTACAGACATTCCACCATCAGTCATCAAGGCTTGCTGGTTCATACATGCGTGTTCTCAGCTGATCACTGCAGTATCAAGCAATCATCTGTATGTGTGGAACTGATGGAACATCACAGATCGAACTTTTGCAGCTCCTCAAGTGCAATGGAATCAGCCCACACAATCCACTGACATCAATCTGATGATGCATGCATGGAAAGCTGTATCACATTGTTTGTTCATCTGGCCCAGGTGTGGGGAACTTTTGACCCTGAACTTCAACTCCCATCATGCCTAGCCTTAGGTCACACTTCCTAGGGCTAATGGGAGTTGTATTTCAAAAACATCTAGTGGAGATGTTGGGGGATTGAATAGGGACAGCGTATTGCAGTGTATATGATACACTTTGGACACTTGTCTGAAGTATTATACATAGGAAGCTGCCTTACACCGAGCTAGGACCAGAACCACAGCAAAGTGGTGCGACCCACCCCTAAGTCGGACAGCTGCTCCAGAGGATACCATGGTTGATGGTATTGAAAGCTGCTGAGTCATTGAGGAGAATTAACAGGGACACATTTCCCCCGTCACAGAGGTCATCACACAGGGTGCCCAAAGCAGTTTATGTGCCAACACCAGCCCTTAATGGATCTAGAAAATCAGTTTCCTCCAAGAGGGTCTGAATCTGGTCCACAACTACCTTGCCCAAGAAGGGAAGATTGACAAGTGTGGTGAGTGGTAAGAGTGTTGAACTAGGAGCTGGGAGATGAGGGTTCAGATTCCCATTGGACCATGATGCTCACTGGGTGACCCTGGGTCCCAGCTGCTGTCTCTCAGCCTAACCTCCCTCATTGTTTGTGAGGATAATATTGTAGGGGGGGGGAGACCCATGTGCCCCACCTTCAGGAAAGGTGAGATAGAAATGGAGCCACAAGGTAGTTTACTGTTGTTATGAATTTGTTGGTCTTTAGAGCCACTCAGTTCATAGCATGCAGCTTGAGTTAAATTCTTCCCCCAACCACCCCATCAAATGAAAATTCATGCTCCTTCTTTTCTTTTGGTTAATATTCCTCTTTGGCAGGTTCTTTTAATGGGCTGGAAAAAATTCTTCCTATGAAGTTCCAGGCTTCCTGTGCTTGAATGAGCACAGCTCCCCATTGGCTGCCCACCGCGTCTCCTGATTGGCTCTTGAACTTGGAGGTAGGGGTGGGGAGGGGGAAGGAACCTCTCAGGGTGGCTATAAAAACTCCAGGTTGGTCACCTGCAGCGAGGAGGAGTGGGAGTCCAAGTGGCGACGGAGAGCTGCGGCTTTGACGGACTGGGCGCGTCAGTCCATCGGTTGCTCCTTTCTCAAGCCCCGTCCGCTGCCGCGCGCTCTGCTGCGTCCGGCTCCGTGTCTTCGCTCCAGCTCGAGAGGGGGCCAGAAAGCGAGAGAAGCCCGAAGCGAGAACTTAGCGGAAACTTAGCAGAGAATGCTCCGAAAGTCGGCGGTCCTGCTGCTGCTGGCGGCCGCTGCTGCTGCGACTTACGAAGTGGAGCAGAATGACTCCTTCAGCCCCAGGAAGGCCAGGCTGGCCGCGCAAAATTCAGGTACCCTCTTTCTCCTTTGCAGGCAGGAGCCCGTGCAGACAGCTATTGCGGCTCACTTTGGCCGCAAACGCAGGCGGGAAGTTCTCCTGCGCAAGCCGCTGCCCCACTGAAAGAAAGGACGGGAGCTGTGTGCAGGAGGGGAGCTTGCGCAGGAGAACTTTACGCTGCGTTAATATGCCTCCTGCTTCTCTCTCTCTTTCTGCCGCTGTTCCACAGCCGAATGAATGGGAGGAGAGCGCTCGCTCGTTTCAGCAGCTGGTGTACTGATCCTAAATGCGGGGTAGTGTTCGAGGTGGTTCACACTGCGCCGTCCGCTTCAGCCACAGCGGAGACCTCCAGTCTTCTTGGAGAACTGAACTGAAGCAGAATGGTTCACCCATCTCCAAGTTAAGCACCATTCCCTAGCGAACACTTCATGCCTCTGATGAATTGCGCCCCGCCCCCAAAACAGCTTCTGCTAGAATTAAATTGGCTGGTCTTCAAGGTGCCCCGAGACTTTTCGTGATGTTGCTGCAGCAGATTAACAGAGCTAACCTACTACTCTGGAAATAGAAAGATGGTGTGTGGCTGTGTATGCACCATATACTTAAGGCGTTCTCCCTGCCCTCCCCCCGAAAAAAGAATCCTGAGAACCGTAGTTTGTTCGGGGTACTGGGAACTGTAGCTCTGTGAGGGGAAAACTACAGTTCCTAGGATTCTTTGGGGGTGATGTGCTTTGCATGTGTTCTAAGTGGATGGTGTGTATGGAGCCTTAATAGCTGTACCGGGAACAGAGTACCCCATGTAAGTACCTACATCTGAAAATCTACACCTTCCCTTTCTGGCTTCTAACTTTTAATCCTCCCTTGCTCTACAGTCAAATCAGGAATTCTCATGTTGCATGTTACCAATACACAGTCTTAAAACAAGTTAGTTCCATTTGAGAAATGGCCTGTATATGTTTTGCTGACTTACCTAAAGCTAAACACTTTTGAAAAGGCTAAGTTGTTGGCTGCTGCTTATGCTTCCAGCGCTGGCAGGCATCACTTGCACCCATTTAAAATAAAGACATTTATACTCCTCTGATTTGACACTTGCCAAGAGAGGCTGCTATTTCAGATCTGCAAGAATCTGCAGCACAGTTCTAGGGTATTTGCTCAATTTCCTTTTGTACTTGGTTGCTATAGAAACAAAGGGTCTCAGTTATTCCACTGTGCCTAAAACAATAAGAGCCCTAATATGTATTAAACATGCTAAGTGCCAAGTTATAACCTGAATCTATGGAAACATATTGTTATAAAATGAGTTGTTTTATTCATTCATTCATTCATTCATTAAATTTCTATGCCACCCTTCATCCAAAGATCACAGGGCAGTTTGCAATATAAAAACACAAAAATGCAAAACTTAGTAACAAATAATAACCCCCACCCACAAATAAATACACAGGGTATTTATTTCTGAGGATAGTTAGGGATGGTTTGCAGAGAGCTTTGTCTTATCAAATAGTTCTTTTTCCTTGCATATAAGTTAGCATTGAAACATGCAGTGTTCTCATTTAAAAGATGCTACACTTGACTAGAAATTAACGAGCTTTTTCACTAGGTTTCTAGAACTACTGTCTAAAATCCTCTGCTTCCCTGAGAAATAGCATCCCAATTTTTTAAAAGTCCTGGTTTGCACTGCATTCCTAACATATGAAACATGATCAGGCAAAAAGTAACAGATCTCCCTTTGCATGACTGAGTAGAAATTCAGCTTGGAGAAAAATGTTACACCAATTTACCTGCAGGCAGGGGAGAAATCTGGTGGATTGTCAGCCAGCTTCTGGAAGAAAATTGTCCTGCTGACATATTTAAATAGTTCAGCCTTGTGCACAAACTCTGGCGGCTCTTCCTAAGTTCTTTATGCTGCTCTGCTCACCTCCATGAGCTTAACTAGTGGGCTTTAACTACATTTACTGCATTACTCTACTAATTTTCCATCAAGGAGCTCAAGGGGATTACATGATTTTCTCCCTGTACATTCCATCTAATCCCCTTCAACAACCCTGTACGGTAGGTTATGCCCAGAAATGACTAGCCCAAGGTCACTAAGTCAGTTGTATGGCTGAGTAGGGATTTAAAGCTGGGGTCACCTCAATCTTAGTCTGACACTTCAACCATTTCACCACCGTGACTGTCTGCAAAATCTTAACTGGAGCCTTACACTCAATTTAGTGGGATTAGAAAGCCTGTATTAGTGACAGCTTTTGAAACTGGAGTTGAAAGATAAAGAAACATTTGTCCAAAATGCTTACAGGTTAGACTCTGGGTTTATGGGGCCCCTTCAAATGAGAATTTAAATAATAATTACTATCAAATGTGGCAAGCCAGCTTGCTGCATCTGGAAGCCCTGTGCTCATCCCATCAAATGGGGCCCTGCCTTTTTGTTTCAAAGTCCTTTCCTCATGGTACCATTGGGTCCTTATTTAAGCAGACGGACATGTTCGCAGTGCATCCATTCAAACATCCAACATGATTTGGAAGCGTCAGATCCTGCTGCTTCAGCAACTTCTCTACTTGGCTGATGAAGGTATGAGCCGTTGTGCTGGTCCACTGCTCTTGGCCACTGAGCATCCTAAGGCAATGGTAATTTGCCTCTTTCTACAGTATATACTCATCCCATGCTTCTTCCAGCTGTGCACTTCAATGCTCAGCTGCCAATTCCATGACACCTCCACATAGACAGCAAGCAACGCAATGAGTGTAGAATGCATTATCTATTTTTAAATGTAAGGGACTGCAGTTTCCTATATTTAAACTGTTTTAGTGTGTCACACCAGAAGCACGGGATGTTCAATTTTGGAACAGAAAGGATAGTTGTGCAAATTGACCCCCTTCTGTAGTGATTCTTTAGGCTAAGTTATAAAGTTTATACCATAATACAGCTGTTTTAGATGGGAGGTTTGGGGCATCATTAAGGGTGACTGAATTTAAAGCAGGTAGAAATGTCCAATGGGGCATCATCCATTAGGAAGTTCTCCTGAACAAAAATAGACAAATCCTTCCCACCCCACTAAAAGAGGAGCACTAAAGGGTCAGAAAACATAACGCTACCTGCCTGGGTAAGTAAGAATCATAGAATCTTCGGGTTGGAAGGGACTCAAGGGACCCCCTGCAATACAGGAAATGTTTCAGCCTGGTGCCAAAAAGCAAGCAATGATGGCACCATGTGTCCTTCTCTGGGGAGAGCATTCACATCAAGATAAGTCTGGGTCCAACATATGCAAAGTAGCTCCTCTCCCTACATGAACCCCTTGCTCATTAAGGTTAGTGACAAAGGCCCCTTGGAACATCAGCCCATTGTTGGCAAGGTGAGGAATGAGGCCACAGTTCCTCCAGAATTACCTTCAAGTGATGCCCAACACTTTGTGCCGGTGCATGCTTTCAGGAGGTGAGTTAAGGTGCGTTCTTTTATTCTGGAATGCTTGTAGTGTTCTGTAAGAGTTGGAATGCCATCAGGTGTGGCTTAGGTTATGTGATGGTTTTTATTTTATTTTTCTATGCATCTCAGAGGTAATCCTGGTTTTTATAAAGAGCGGGGTGATGATTTATTACTTACACCCCCTGCCCATCCAACCAAGTTGCCCTAGTCAGGATATACATATTTGTCAGTACTTAACAGTCCCCAAGGGCAGGGGTACCTTTACCTTTACCTAACAGTCCCCAAATGGAGGAGAAATTAACTTCAGTTTACATATAAAGGCAAAGCTGCCCAGTACTTACTTTCCGAAACATTATTCAAACTAGAGCACAACCATCTTTCAGAATTTGCACTTCTCCAAATTTTGCAATGCAGTTCTCCAGCATGTGATGTGCATGAGAATTTACCTAATACAGTGTGCATATAAATGTATATACTGGTGGAAATTGCTTTGCAAACTGAATTTATTAAGCAAAATCATGTCTAAAATATGCATAGGGAAACTTGGCACAAGAAATACTGCCTAATTTCAAACTGATGTGTAAATGTGGAGAACTGAACTTAAGGTTGGAAAAATGAGAAACTAAAATTAGCACAGTCATGCATTGCTACCCAGAAACAGAAGAGGGACAGCACAGCACTGTAGCATGGGTTCAGAAACTCTTTTCCAATCAAGCATTCCATGGAAACATGCCCATTATGTATCCATTGCAGCCACACCTTTAGTCCGTAAAATGCTAGGTATTCCTCTGCGCCTCTTGGCATCCTATCCTTGAAAGGTTTACTGACTTGCCACCCTGAATTTTAGCAATAATTCAAAAATGCTTTTTCTACAAATAATCTCTCCCTTGTCTGTATGTTGACTTGGAATGGGAAATTACCATTACCCTATACATGCAGAAACACACTCACGCTACATAATCAGAGTTTAATCACTGGAATGAAGTTGGAAGCCAACAGTCCCATACATGTCTACTCAAATGCAAGCCCAATTAAATTAAATGTAACTTATTCCCTGGTAAATGGGCCTAGGATTACAGCCTCAGTGAGCATAATGGCCATGTGTGTCTTTTTAACTGATGAAGCCCATAGTTCATAAACTCAGCCCAAAACTCATTGAGTGGCCCTAAGCAAGCCATTATAGAACGATACGGAGTAAGGAATGGGATCTGGCAGGCAGGTAGGCATGATCCTTATATCCCCACCCCCTTCATGCCAAGCTTGACAGGGAGTGGGGTCACCTATTTGTCAACCACATTGTGTCACACCGACCTCTATTTTTGACTGCAGGGGTTGAAATCAAACTGTGCAGGAAAAGGCACGGTGCTATTTAAGCCCTGGTGATCAACTGGTAAGCAGTGCTGGCAAACCTCATTTTGGTGCAGTTGAGTCTTTACTCACCCCACATATATGACATCAGATCTAGGGCAGGTAGCTGTGGCTTGGCCAAATGAGGAGGCCTGGCAAAGCCTTATTAGGTCTGTGGGGTGGCATTTCCCCACTCCCGACTTAAGGATTTGTGATGGTTGCATTGGAGTGAGAGCCTGGGTGGGCCAAAGTGTCCTTTGGCACCTCCTTTCTCAGAATTGTCATCATACGCAGCCCCTTTTCCTGGCTGCTTCTCAAGGAGAGGTGAGACAGTGACACCCACTCAAGCAGCTCAGCTGGAATGAACTGCCATTTGGCTGCTCATCCACCCCATAATTGTCTTGCAGTGGCTATGACAACCCAACTTTGCCTTTTCCCTCCTCCCTACCTGTCTGTCTTTGCATTGCAATGGCTGCTAAACTGTGAACTGTTAAAATAAAATGTGAAGCTTCTTAGGTGCATTGGCAGTAAGCTGATGTATCAAACTAGCAATGTCTGGAATTAGCACTTTGGGAAGGGTGTTTCTGTACATACTAACCATTTTGAATGTGCAGTTGTAATAGCCCCAAAGTCTGACATTCATTGCTTGTTGGAGACTGTGTCGCATTGCAGGACTGTAACTATGTGCTTGTTTCTTCCTGCTTTGTAAAATTGGGTTACATTGCTACAAACAGTGGACTTATGCTATGGTTCTTGTTGCAATAAAAATGTTTTGCTATGTTAATAGTGACACACACACACACAAACTCCTCTCCACCATTCTCACTATGGCACCAGTGTGGAAGGGTGAAATGGGAAGGTTCATCTAATGCCGCCTTTTCCAGCTTGGTTGAACTACATCAGGCATGGCCAAACTTGGCCCTCCAGATGTTTTGGGACTACAATTCCCATCATCCCTGACCACTGGACCTGTTAGCTAGGGATGATGGGAGTTGTAGTCCAAAACAGCTGGAGGGCACTGGTTTGGGAGTGACAAATCAAATGTTTATAAAGTGGCAACATAACTGGGGTGGAGGCTTCTCGGCTTGGTTTGTAAAATGAAAGCACCAGAAACGTTTGTTTTCTTGGCAGTCATGCTTTCCAATTTGGAGTCCCTAAAATCAGTGATGCTATGAGGGCTGGACTTCAGGGCAGAAATCCACCTCACCAAAATGAACAGGAGGACCCCCAAATGCAGCCTGTCTGACTTACTGTGTCTGTGATGAATAGGCAACCGTGCCTTCAGGAACTGAGTTTAGTGCCTGTCACCTGTGGTTCAGCTGTCCAATTATGCACTAAGACTTTCTGGGATGGTGTCCTCCTGGTGTATTTCACACACAAAAAAGGCTTGATGCAGAAAATGTACTCTCCAAGGTGCTGGAAGCTGACTCTTGCAGCAGAAATGCATTTGAGGTGTGGTGGCTTAGCTGTGGGTGCTTGTTAAAGGTGATGTGTAGAATATGCACACTCCAAGAGGAAAGCAATGACTTAACAATTGCTGGCAAATGCCTTCAATTGAGTTGAAAGCTGCTATGGAAACATGAGGCATGGCAGAAGACTGTATTAAGATGGACTCTCCTTCTCTCTACCCCTTCTCTTTTGCAGCGGATGTGGTGCGGTGTTTAAATAGTGCCCTCCAAGTAGGGTGTGGTGCTTTTGCCTGCCTGGAAAATTCCACATGTGACACAGGCGGCATGTATGACATCTGCAAATCCTTTCTCTACAGTGCAGCTAAATTTGACACTCAGGTAAAGTATCAGCCTAACCCCTTTTCCCTTGCAGCTTTCTTGCTGATGGGCAGGGGAAGAAGGGCCAGGGCTCCATGGTGGTGCAATGCTTTCCATGCAAAAGGCATCTCCACTTAGAGATAGGAAAGTCTCCTGTCTGAAACCCTTGAGAGTCTCTGCTAGTCAGTGCAGATCAGTGGGTGGAGAACAGCTGGTCCTCCAGATGTTGGTGGACTCCAGCTCCTATCAGCCTCATCCAATATAGTCAATGTTCAGGGATGGTGGGAGTTGTAGCCCAGCAACAGCTGAAAGGCCACTGGTTCCTGTTGGTGTAGGTACTATTGAGCTATATGAGCCAGGGGTCTGAGTAGGAGGCAGCTTTCTTTGACTCATATGCCCAGGGGTGAGACGCTGCTGCAACCAGTACTATTGTATTGTACATAAGTTCTCAGAATTCACCTGTCTTCATATAGTGCAACTGATGGAGAGTGGACTTGGCTTGGCTGAGATAGCCTTACAGGCCAAACAGGGAGGCCTCAGTGGCCTAAATTTGCTTTTGTGCTGGAGTTTCGCAACCACTGTCTTACAACAACTGCAGATATAAAAAGAAGCATTCTTATTCCACAGAAGGAAATGCTTCTTCTAAGATGCTGGTTGCTGTGATGCATGTGTGTATCCTCTTAAAATGAAGCATCTTGTTTTCTTTAAAACAGGGATAGCGGAACCTTTGGCCCTCTAGATGATGTTGGTGTCAACTTCCCTTGGCCTCAGCCAACATGGCCCACTACTGGGGATACATATATAATTTTATTTGTATATGGCCCATTTTGTTCTTAAGCCTGGTGGAGTCCCAGCTATTTGAGCAAATAAGGGTTGTAGCTCACTGGCAGATAACTTCCCAAAAGTCCAAGGTTCAGTCCCTGTTATCTCCAGGTAGACCTGGGGAAGACTCCAGCCTGTTCTGGAAAGCCACTGCTGGCCAGTTATCAATGATACTGAGCTGCAACAAAGCTGCTGGTTGCATGAAGAGCTTCTGAATTGTCCTTTGTCCCTTAATATTTTAAGTAGCTGCAGATATGTCAGGTGCTTCATTTGCTGCAAATATGTGATAACTTGTATCCAGAGACAGTTTATTCAGTTGTTGTTTTTTAAAAAAACCAAACATTTTATTAACACAGTGGATACATTCAAGTGGTGGGTTGGGACTAGGGGTCCGTTCTATGACAGTACATTTTCCACTCACTGTGTGTGAAGGCTTGGCAGAGGATGTCGTGTGGGGTGGAGAATCAAGCTTCCCTTTCAAGAGGAAACAAATGTTCTTTTCACACAGCCACTCCTACTGTGGGAGCTGGCAGGGAGATGTGCAGTGCCAGATCAGCCTGACATGACTTGCACTTCTGTTTCCTAGGAGGCTAGGAATTAGAAACTAGGCACCTAACCCACCAAGTTTAGAGCCCTGGCCATTCCTACCATTGGACAAGGTGGAGTGGCTTTCCTTAGGCTGGAGGTTTTAAGATGCCAGTAAATAAGAACAGTAAACTGGCAAATTTTAAAGTTCATTATTATAGGGTGTTTGTTTTTTACTAACGGTGGATTTTTTATTTTTTGCTTTAAGCATCACTGAGTAGCAGAGTATCTAAAGTAGGGACCATGGCAGGAGACTATGGCCTACCAGATATTGTTGGATTTCATTGCCACCCGCCACCCCAGAAAAAGTCAGCTTGGCCAGTGGTCAGGGCTGATGGGAGCTGTAGTCTAGCAATGCTTAGAGAGCTGCAGGCTTTCTTGCCATCCCAGTCAGATGGGATTTCATATGCAAAGCATCTATATCTGCAGGGTAGAAGATTACTGACGGGGGATGCCTTTGGAACTTACATAGCCCCTATTCTGAAACAGCTGTTTTGGCTGCCAGTTCCTTTCCAGACCCAACTTGAGGTGCTTAAAGTCTTAAAAGGTCCCAACTTTCGGAGAGACTGCCTCATTCCTTTCAGGTGATAAGATCAGCTGAAGTGGGGGGGCCCTCTTGGTAACTCCTCCACCCTCAGACATTCACGGGGGGGGTGAAGTCCAGGAGAGGGCCTTCTCTGTGGCAGCCCCTAAGTTGTGGAATTCCCTCCCCACAGAGATGGGTGTGGCACCATCATTATACAGCTTTCATTGTATGCTTAAGGCATCTCGCTTTACCCTGACCTCAGACACCTGCTGGTGTGTGTTCTCAGCATGCATCCTATTCCTATGACCATTTTAACTGCTTTTAATATTTACTTTTAAATTGTTGTAACCTACCCTGGAACTTGCTGATAAATGGCAGGTTAAAAAATTACCGTATTTTTCGCCCTATAGGACACACTTTTCCCCATCCAAAAATGAAGGGGAAATGTGTGTGCGTCCTGTGGGGCGAATGCAGGCTCCTTGGCTTCAGCGATAGCAACGCGAAGCCTCCCAAGCCTGCTCTCCGGAGGCTTCGCGTTGCTTTTGCTGAAGTCAGGAGAGTCTGCTCTTTGAGGCTGGCGGTGGGGGAAAGCAGCGCTTCCCCCCACCGCCAGCCCCACAAGCTGGGGGGCAGCGGGAAGGCGCGTGACGCCTTCGTGTTACTCTCCAACCTGGTTTGGAGGCTGGCGGTGGGGGAAAGCAGCTCTTCCCCCCACCGCCAGCCCCACAAGCTGGGTCGAAAAGCTCGCAGGAGCCGTGCGCTCTTTAAAGGGTGCACGGCTTCTGTGGGCTTTTCTATGAGGTGGGTGGAAGGGGGCTGGCATGACTATTAAGCAAAAACATTAAGGTTGGTTGCATGATGTGGGCTTGTCTTGGGAACAGTCAGGTCAGCAGCTGAATTTATGGCTTAAGCCCTTTACTTATCAGAGCACACGCTGTCACAAGAAGATCTCTAGGTGTGGAGCAAACCAAATTAATTGGTTTATTCTCAGCCTGGATTATCAATCAACCTCTCCCTGTCTGGAAATCTGTTGTGAAATTTAACTCTGTCTCCATCCTGAAAATGGCTCAGGGCTCCTCTACTCTTCTGCTAGTCCCTAAAAAGCACAAGTCTGGGAGTTTTTCCACTTGTCCCAGGCTTTCTAGGCACAGGTCTGAGTGGTTTTGCCTTTCCCTTGCTGATTTCTCCCAGGAAACCTGCGATTTAGTGCTAAATCATAAGAAACAGCAACCCACAAAAGAAACCCAATTGCTGTTTGTTCCGATTCCATGCTAAACTGCAGGCTTTCCCAGAGGAAAATGGAAGTGTACATGAGCCCTCCGTGTTGCCAAGTAAGCTTTGTATGTACTGATGCTTTAGTTGCAGTTACCATTATACATGCTAAGGGTGAATTTGGTTTTCTGAATTCTCCTTAAGTAGCCAAAACAACACCACCCATGAAATGCAAGTTGGCAAAAGTACATTAAAAAATATATATATTTATATAGGGCATACCAAAAAGGGGGGAGGACTAGTGAATTTGGGAGGAGAACAGGAGGGGAATGGAGTACCTTGGGAGAAGGCATTGCTGGGTGTCCAGAATGCTGAAATGGAGTCATCCCCACTGGCAGGGGTAGAGGAGAAATTCAGTCTAGTTTGCATTTAAAGGCAAATCTACCTAACTTTTACTTCCCAAAATAAAATGCAAACAGAAACTCTGCTGTAATTTTAAAATTACCACTTCTCTGAATTTTGCAATGCAGTTCTCCAGGAAAGCAATATGTGCAAAAATGCATATATTTGTAAAAACAGACATATGTGTATATAGGGAGAAATTAGCACTAAAATGCTTCTGAATTTTTATGAGAACTTAAAAAAACAACCTCTTGAACTGGAAATGTGGAGACCTGGAAAAATGAGAAACTAAAATCAACATTCACCCATTGCTAACTGAGGTTCCCACTTGAGGATCGTTAATTACATGTGGCAAAAGCATATTATACAGTAAAGATTCATACTCCTGTTCTTTTAACCTGGTCACTTACACCCTAACAATCAATTGGCAGGGGAAAGCCTTTGTGAAGGAGAGCTTGAAGTGCATTGCAAATGGCATCACCTCAAAAGTATTCCTTGCCATTCGGAGGTGCTCCACATTCCAACGAATGATTTCTGAGGTGCAGGAGGAATGTTACAGCAAGCTGGACATCTGCGGCATTGCAAAAAAGAACCCAGAAGCGATCACAGAAGTCGTCCAGCTTCCAAACCACTTCTCAAACAGGTAGGCTTGTTTGTGCACTATAAAAGACTTGAGTACACTTCTTGAAAAAGCATGTTCAAGTCAAGGCCAGGGATGAGGGTTAACATAGCTGGGCACCTGCCACATGCCAGGGGTTCCACTGGCAAGAGTGGACTTGCTTTAGCGGTTGGCTCACTATTCGGTGCATTGCTCATAGACCCTCCAAAAGCTGGCGCTCACCCTGGTTCAAGTTGGGTTGATTGTGATGATAAAGTTTGGTGTGGAAAGAGAACCAGGTCCACCACTGGAGCTCCTGAATGGAAAGGCAAGATGCAAATGTAGTAATGAACTAAAGCTGTTCCACAATAAGTTGAAGGATGTTCAGTGGCAGAGCATCTGCTGTGTATGCAAAGGCCCCAGACTCAACCCCCAGCGTATCCAGGTAGGGTGATGAAAAGTGCCTGTTCAGAAATGCTGTCAGTCAGGGTGAATGGCAGTGAGTTTTATGGACCAGTGTGGCTGTCATTCTGAAAGGAAATGGCTGCAGCTCTTCACTGCTGTCTTGCTGACTTGGTGTAAGGCAACTTCCTGTGAACTCATGGTCTTTCTGTGATTGTCTTAATCCTGCTAAAATTGTGAGAATGTAGCTAGGGAGGCAGCAATTTCTGCAGTGGGGGGAGTAAGAAGCCGCAGGGCCTCTTCCAACCTGTAGAACTCAAGTGACTGAAGGGGGGCGGGTAGTCCTTCGGGCTGCTGGAAACAAAGCCAACAGAATTTCCCAGCTAGTAAATTGACACAAGTTTTCCCAAAGCAATCCTGCTTTCTCAGCTGTCCCCAACAGAAGCTAAGCATGAACTAGATGGCACTGCAGTCAAACAGGAGGTCATTAAAAGGTCAGGGCACCTTTTCCATGGTTAGTCTTGAATGGTATCTGAAATGGGAGAGAAAAGATTGGCATGTGGGTATGTGTACTAGGCTAAAACGTTTTTAAAAGACTCCTATTTCACAATTTGATCTCAAGCAAGGCCTTCTTTGCTGAACTGTTGCCTTGTATGATTTCAGGCCTGGCGGCTCTACTGTACTGTCTGCTTCAGGAAGGGGAAAGGCTTCTTCCCTCCACAAGTTATTTGTTTTAAAGACTTACAGCCCTTATATTTATCATTGCTGATACCATGGTGGGGTGCAGCATAATACTGCATTAGCAAAGCTTAAATGGCAGCAGGGGCCTCTAAACATAGCAGAGAAGTCTGAAGCAGTCACTCATTTAGAAACTTGAAAGTCCTCGGGGAGGAGTGGGGAACCTTTGGCCCTTCACACGAAGGGCCTTGACTGTTGAATGTACTGGTTGGGGTTGATGGGTGTTGGAGTCCAATAGCACCTGGAGAGCCCAAAGTTGCTCACCTCTATTCTAGGTACACAGGTACATGTTTACTTAATGCTGAAATGACAACAATGTCAGTTCTTTACACACCTGTATGGGGGCGGAAAAGATTCTCAGGCAAAAGGCTGCAGGCAAAAGCAGGTGGATCAACTAATATTCATTCTTGTGCCCTTGTACAGCAGGCTAGTTTCTGCACACAGAAATCACACACCCCTCTGTATCAGCCTTATCAGAGTCCAGGGGCACAATCCAGTCAGACAAACACTCAAGAAGGGTGTCAGGCAGGTCAAGTGCGGACTGTGACCTGGGGGTAAGGAGCATGGGCAGGGATGAATTCCAACGGCCAGTAGAGAGGTCCAGAAGGCTACATCCCCCCCCCCAGACCTGAGGTAGCCCACCCCCTGCTGTAAGGCAAGGGAGGGTAGTGTATGACCTTCTAGAGCAGTGGTTCTCAACCTTGGGTCCCCAGATGTTTTGGGCCTACAACTCCCATGATCCCTTGCTCACAGGACCAGTGGTCAGAGATGATGGGAGTTGTAGGCCAAAAACATCTGGGGACCCAAGGTTAAGAAAGGCTGTTCTAGAGGTTCCTAGTCTACAACTCCAATCTTCCCTGACCATTGGCTGTGCTGGCTAGGGCTGATGGAGTTGGAATCAGAGTCCAACAACCACGAAGAAGACTCTGTCCCATGTCATCATCAACCAAACCTGCTGATCAAAAAGCATAGGCAATTGGTTATAGAGGGGGCACTTCTTCAGGTATTCAGGCCCTAAACTATTTGGGGCTTTAAAAGTAAGCAGCAACACCTTAAATTGAGCTTAGAAGTGGATGGGCAGTTAGGGCAGTTGTTTAAGGAATCAATGTGATATGATCTCTCCTGGTGGTACCTGTCAAACATCTGTCACATGCATTATTGACTCAGTGAAACTTCTGAGTTGTCTTCAAAGGTTGTCTGCAGTGCATAGCAGTCATTCAAACAATAGCTGATCACAGCATGGGCCACTGCAGCCCTGCCAGGAATATTTGTAGCTGGTGAACCAGCTGAAGCTTGGAAAGGACTTTCCTTGCCACTGAAGCCATCTGGTCCTCAAGCACCCTCAAACTATGTACCTATTCCTTCAAGGGAAGCACAGCCCTATATTCCCATATCCAGGAATTAGTTTATTGGCCCTCATCCAGCCCATTAGCATATCAAAGCACCAATTCAGTACCTTCACTGCCTCACATGACTCAGATGACAATGTGAACTAGATATTGTTGGGCTGCAACTCCTGTAATTTCTGGCCTTTGACCATACTTCCTGTTGGGTGTTTGAGTCCAACCACTCCAGAGGACCACAGGCTCACTGTCTCTGGCCTCCTCCAACTGGCAGCAGTTCTTCGGGGATCTGGGCAGCAGGATCTGCTACTATTACTCAACCAGTAGTGCTGTTAAGTAATATAAGACTCCAGGCATAATGGTCTGTTGGAGAGAGCTTTAAATGTGTATTGTGGAAATACTTACAGTTTTAACTTGTTACTGATGAACCTCCCACAGAACTTGTGTTAAGTCAGCAGGTGGTATGGAAGTAAATTGTAAGTAAATGAAGTAAACCTCTATTTTTCACCTGCCTTCCCAAATGTGATAAGGGCAGATATTTGGGGTAGGGGGTGTCCTATTCTTCCACCTCAAGCTCCTGCCCTCAAAGCACTGCTGTTTTAAGCCTTGTTGTCTTAAAACTTTTGGGGTGGGATTGAATCTGGGACCTCCTGCATGCAAGGCAGGTGCTCTGAGCTATGCACACCCTTCATTTGGGGTGCATGCATAAGGTGAGTTGAAAGGGTGTGCCAGTAAGTAAAGTGTATTGGCATAGCTAGAGGTGTAGATTATCGGTGAGAAGATTGAGTGGGATGTTCTTTCCTTTTTAAAAACCATCTCAGTCCTGCACCGAGGTAAACAAATTCTTAAATTCTGGGATTCATAGAAGTGGCAGAACTGGTTACACTTGCACAAACCAATTCACTCTGGTTTAGCTAGCTATGAAAGAAGGCAGGCAAAGACCTGCAGGGTTCAAAGGTTCTATGTCGTGTTGACCATGTGAACTTTTTCTCCTAGTTTTGGCAATTTCACCATGCATTCTCTGCAGAGTTCTTAGCCATTCATAGGTCTGGGATTATAATCATTTTCTAAAAATTGAAACCCTAAGGGTCAAACAGGAATGCAAGCTATGTTTGCAAAGGAGCAATCAGGAGCACCCACTAAAGTTAGGGAGAGCTCTGTTTAATGGCTAGATCTGCTCTGTCACATTACCCATCGCTAGGTAGTCTGCAGCTGGTTTTTAGAGCTGCAGTGCAAACTGACCCTCAGCCCCAGCCAGCAAGGTCATGGATGGTAGGACAACTTCATCAACACCATCTGGAGGGCCACAGGTTCCCCACTCCTGTCTTATATATGCAGGTATTATATATAGTTATTGCAAAGCTATTACATTATATAGGCATTGGTTGCAAAAGACAGCTTTTAGGGGTGGCTTTTGTCTTATGGCTTGCTTCAAGTAAACAAATCATTCTGTCATTATCTTGATAATCAGCTGGAATAGCTCTTGCTCTGTCCAATTTATCTATTGCTCAAGAGCATTTGGGTGTTGGAATTCAGGGTCCTGTCTCCCTACCCATCACCTGTTCTCTAGTTCTTCTAAGAATGTTCCCTCAGAAGTTGCAAATAGCTTTCTCACTGTGGATCTTCATTTCACCATGGCTTTTGCTGTCTCATATTAATTATATTCACAATTTAGGCTTTCCATTCTTTATATTGCAAACTGCCCTGTGATCCTCAACTGAAGGGCAATATATAAATTTAACAACAACAATAATACTTTGGTTATTGTTGGGTTGCCCCAGCCACTCTGGGTGACTTCCAACAAATTTAAACACAGTAAGACCCCAAACATTAAAAACTTCCCTATACAGGGTTGCCTTCAGATGTCTTCTAAGTATCAGTATCAAATTTTATTTCAGTCACACACCAGCATAAGATAAAACATACGGATAAACTGAACACATAAGACTTAAACAGGTAAGGGATAAAAAACTAATAATTAAAAGATTATTATATCATATATAACTTTAAAAGATAAAAACAAGGACAAACTGTTAAGGAAGGGAGCATGAAGGAGCATAGGTCTTGCATTTTGGGCCTCGTTTGTGGCGCAAACCATCCTTCAACAAATATCCATCATGGCAGCACAAAATCTAGCAACTGAGTAGCAAATCTGCATTTTCATCTTGATGTAGCAGAGAGGTATCAAATTGTTTTGTGCAACCTGGAAATTTACGTAGCTTAGGCAAGGTGAATCTAGATCTTTCCCATCATTTGCCACCTGATCCTTCTTAACTGAAAATGGCAGGAATCAAGCCCTGGGCTTTTCGTGCGCAGAACAAGTGCTCCGCCCCTGGCTGGGAGGGAGGGGGGGCTGCTGCAGCCCATCAGCATATGGAGGGCTGCAGGTTCCCCATCTCTGCTTTAAGGCTTTTTTGGAGCCACAGGTGGTTTGCTTTGTCAGACTTTTGAAAGTGAATCCCGGAGAAGCTGTTTTCAGTTTGGAAGTTGAATCCTTTTGTCTGTCAAGCCATCAGGTTTTAGAATAGGGTCCTTTGCCAGCAAAGTATGTAGAAAATTGCCACAGTCTTACTTGGGGATGAATCTCTCTCTTCAGTAATGGCATCTGGGAAATGAGCCTGAAACCCCATGCAAGAAATTCACCAAACACACTGCTGGACCCTTGAATAAAGAAACCATAGATTCCAGTAATCTGGATTCACTCCCAGAACCAGTATTTATTTATTTATTTATTTAACTATTTCCTGCCTTAAGTATAAGGTGCCCAAATGCCAGGACCAGCTTAGGAGATTTTTCTCCAGGGGTGGAGAACACAATAGTTTCCAGATAATGCTGGACTACAACTCCCATAATCCCTGACCATTGGAACAAGAAGGGACAGAGCCTCCAAGCTGTTGTCAACTATTGAAAGTCTCACCTTGGCGTGCACTCCTATTTCAAAGTCCATGTTTATTCTGGAGCTGCCTGTGCAAAAAGTAATAGCAGGGGGGAAAACCCACATGCTGAATTCTTGATAGATCTTCTCACTCTCTGAGAGGATCATTGGAATAGCAAGACTAAATGCATATGACTACTCTGTCATTTGTGGGGGGTCACAGAACAAAGGAAAGCACAAAAGAATCATTGGGTGCAGATAACTATTAATTGTTAGCATTTCTGTGGTGCTTTCAGGTGCTCAAAGTGCTTATCAGGCCTTGATGGTAGGGGCAGAGGAGAAATTCAGTTCAGTACATGGTTAAAGGTGAATCTATAAAATGTGTACAGCTATTCTTGAAAATTCACACTTATCTGAATTTTGAGATTCAGTTCTCCAACTTTTGCAAAAATCCATATACTAGGATTGTGAATTAATAGTGGGGGGGGGGTACTTGCAAGAATGTGTACATTAGTCAAAACTACATATAAAAATGTGTTTTAGGAGAAATTAACATAAATTTTCATGAGGACTTTGTAATTAAAAAAAAACTGATGTGAAAATGTGGAGAAGTAAACTTAAGACTGGAGAACTGAGAGAAATCAAAATTGACAAATTCACCCATCCCTTGTGACTACTGAGCGGGGTGTTAAACTCAAGGTCCTCTTAAGCCACTGCACTGCATCAGCCTCTTATTGACTACGATTGAGTAAAATCTGGACTTCTGTCATCTGTTTCAGCTTCCAGCAGCCACTCCTCAGCTCAAAAATGCAGCAAGAGCATTCTTGAATTGACCAGTTGCATGAACTCTCAAGTGTTCTCTTGCATTTATTTCCTGTGTATGTAACTGAATGAAAAAGTCACATTGACCAGAGCATTAATTTCATTTAAAAGTTACTTTCTTTTTTTAGTTAATTCAGAATTGATTCATTCCATGCTTAAAGAGGTTCTTAGTATCGTGTGTGAAAACCTCCTTTCTCTAAATGAAAGATGTCTTGCATTTCTGGAGCAGTTATTGTAGGGCAGGACAGAATAGTTCAGATTCTTAAAACTCCACTGTCTGGCTCTTTGGAAGCAGACTCCACGAGTTCCATGAAGCAGTTCCCCCCACCCCCCGTGGCTGGAGTCTGCAGAGGTTGGGCTGGTGGGAGGAAAGATGATGCCCAAGATTAGCTTCACCAATGTGGTTCTGTCGTTCAGATGCATGGGGCTGCCTCTTGGGAAACTGGCCCCTGTGTATTGCAGCCATGGACCAAATCGGATGTTGCCCTATTCATGCAACTAGCAACTGCAACAATAGCTTTTTAAAATCACGTTTGTCATTTACTGTATTTATTGCTCACCTTTTTACAAACTTCTGCAAACCAACTTACAAAAATGATACCAACATTAAAGCCAAATATAATCATGGAGTCTCCCTCCTCCCACCCAGAGTGCAGATAGCAGGCATCTGGGGCCAGATCTGAATCAGGACTTTGCAAGGGGCAAAGGAGGAAAGCTGCTCTAAGGAGCACTGCCCCGCCAACCTCAGCCAGCTCCCACCTGCCTTCCATCCAGCCCAGGGGGCTACAAAACCTATCACCTTCCTCCTCTTTTTCCTCCTTCAGTCTGTGTTTTGCCCTTGCAGAAGTCAGCAGGGAGATGGATGGGGGCAAAGCCAGAATTAGTTAGCTCTGTCTATTAGTGCCTCCAGCTTCACCTGCCATTGGCTTCAACAGCTGTTGGTCTTCCTGCCTTGTGCCTTACTAATCCCAACGGGCCAGTCGCCACCGCCTGTATGCCATGGTCCTGATGTGCCCTGCCCCCGAAATTGCTTCTCAAAAAGGCATACATGAGGGTGGCACTGTGGTTGCTAATTGCATGGGTGGGGTTGTGTCTAGTTTGGCTCTGCATTTCAATGACAACTGCATGTAAGACATTCCTAGTTAGCTAGGTTCTAGTTAGGGACACAGGGAATGCAAAAGGCCACCTCATGAGAGCATTCTGCAGATGGGGAGCTATGTTAGAAATGGCCCATTCTCTGAGAAAACTGGGCAGCGCCAGAGAATGGATGGAATCCTTTGAGGAACCAAGAGACCTTTGCATTGAGAAGCTAGTGTCATATAGTAGCTGAGAGCCTGAGTTGTGAACTCTGTTGCTAATTGCAGCACAAAGAGGGGGGATTTCCATTAGGGTTGTGGCTGGGGTGCAAATGGTTAAACCTCCCCCTTCTGTGTCTTATGCTTGAAATTAAAATTGCCTTCCATCTAGGATTCATTTAAAAAGAAAAATCCTCTCACATGGCTACAAGCCACACAATTATTGTGATGTGTGGGCTCAGCCACACTTTTGCATGGACCCAAGCAGTTTTCCACTTGTCCCGTGCTTCTTAGGTATGGGTCTGGGCAGTTTTGTGTTTGCCTTGCATCTTTTCCCTGGAAAACAAACACTCTTTACCACTGAATCGGAAGAAACAGCAAACCCCCAGAAAAACTGGTCACCATTTGGTCCAATTCAGCCGTAAACCGTTGGCTTTCCTGGAGGGAAGTGGCAGGACAAGCGGAAGTGTGGGAGAGTCCTTAGTTAGGCCCTGTGCAGTCCTGTTTTTCTAGAACAAGAAGTGCTGGAGCTCATCCTGAGCACCTCCTCTCTTCTCTTATTATGGCAATGATGCCCACCTGAGAGGTGTTAGAACTGAGTTCCAGCTTAAAAAAAAGCTCTGGCTCTGATACTGAAGTTTGTGGCAGGGTGCTTGTAAACGTTTTATTGAAGGTCCTGTGTGAGTGGCTGGAGGATGGATAGTGGCTAACGGATTGAGGTTGAATCCTGACAAGACAGCAGTACTGTTTTGGGGGGTCAGGGGTCAGGCAGGTGTGGGGGACTCCCTGGTCCTGAATGGGGCAACTGTGCCCCTGAAGGACCAGGTGCGCAGCCTGGGAGTCATTTTGGACTCACAGCTGTCCATGGAGGCACAGGTCAATTCTGTGTGTAGGGCAGCTGTCTGCCAGCTCCATCTGGTACACAGGATGAGACCCTCTCTGCCTGCGGACTGTCTCGTCAGAGTGGTGCACGCTCTGGTTGTCTCCTGCTTAGACTACTGCAATGCACTCTCCGTGGGGCTACCTTTGAAGGTGACCCAGAAACTCCAACTAATCCAGAATGCGGCAGCTAGACTGGTGACTGGGAGCGGGCTGCCGAGACCACATAACACCGATCTTGAAAGGCCTACATTGGTTCCCAGTACGTTTTTGAGCACAATTCAAAGAGTTGGTGCTGACCTTTAAAGCCCCAAATGTCCTTGGCCTAAAGGACCTAAAGGACCTAAAGGAGCATCTACAACCCCACTGTTCGGCCTGGACACTGAGGTCCAGTGCCAACAGCCTTCTGGTAGTTCTCTCACTGCAAGAAGCAAAGTTACAGGGAACCAGGCAAAGGGCCTTCTAGGTAATGGCTCCTGCCCTGTGTAACACCCTCCCATCAGATGTCAAGGAAATAAACAACTATCTGACGTTTGGAAGACATCTGAAGGCAGCCCTGTTTAGGGAAGTTTTTAATGACTGATGTTTTAATGTATTTTTAATCTCCTGTTGAAAGCCACCCAGAGTGACTGGGGAAACCCAGCCAGACAGACAGGGTATAAGTAATATATGGTGGTGGTGGTGGTGGTGATGAAATAATGCATATGAAGTTCTTTGGTGTGGTCCGAAATGCCGCACAAATGCTTTAATTGTATTGGTGGGAGGAAATATGAACAACTAACTGTCTGATCTTAACACAGGTATTACAACAAGCTCGTGAGAAGCTTACTGGAATGTGATGAAGAGACGGTGGCGACCATAAAGGACAGTTTGATGGCAAAAATCGGTCCGAACATGGCCAGCCTTTTCCACCTCCTGCAGACAGATCATTGTGCCCAAATCCATCCGAGAGCAGACTTCAATCGGAGACGTATCACTGAGCCTCAGAAGCTAAAAATCTATTTCCGAAATCTGCGGGGGGAGGGGCCTGTTCAGTCCCACATGAAACGTTCTTCCTCAGAGAGTGTGTAACATTCCTTGAGAGGGTGGAAGTGTAGGGCAGCCTTCACCAACCTGGTTTCCCCCCAGATGTTTTGGACCTCAGCTCTTGGGTGTTGTAGTTCAAAACAGCTGGAGAGCACTAATTTGGTGAAGGCTGGTGTAGGGAATCCAAGCTCTACCAAAGTAGGAAATTTACTTCTTCTTTTCCTTTAGCATTAATAAACACCAGAAATTTACTGTAATTGATTTTAAGGAACACTGAGCTAATCTACACATTCAAAACAAATAATGACATGTGGTATATTCCTCCTAGGACTGAGCTGCTTCATTGTGCAGATAGGAGAGTTGCAAATTTAATGCACAATTGCTTGTATCCAGCAAAGTTCTCCCCAGTGTAGCCCCACTGAAATTAAGGTGTCCATTGATTTCAATGTGTCTGCTCTGGGTAGGACCAGCATAGGGTACAGCCCTTAGATTTAACACACTTAAAAACAACAACTAGCATATCTCAAAAAGCTGTTCTAGGATCATCTCCATTGACCCCTGGGCTTTTCATTGACAAGGGGTTGTGAATGTTCCCTGCTCATCTCTGCCAAGAAATACAATCCCCTTATCTGCATTTTGAAGTGGTATAGTCCCAGGAAATTTATCATATGTTTGAAATGAATGTATAGACCGGCCCCTGGAAAACAGGTGGGTTTTTGGGTGAGGGGTAGGGTATGGCGAGGATTTATTTTCTTTCGCTGTCTTCAGACAAGCTGCATGGACCTGGGATTTCTGGTTGGGGAGGGGATCCCTTAATTCCTGAAATGGAAATACCCTCTTTTCTTTCCACTCACCTTCCCATAAAGAAATCCAATGAATCTGGGCTTTTCTTGAAAGCAATGTTAACAGCACTTCTTCAGCAAACACCAAACTATCACTGTACTGTAGCTCAAACGCCATTGCAGTTTGTGCAGGGAGGGAATGAAGTCAACTGTTGAAGGCTAAATTCTGCTGAACTAAGTTGGCAGATAAATGGTGGCGAGTCAAAACTACAGCAGTTGCACAGTCTATAGAGGTCAGTTGGGAAGTCTCCTTATGAATGGTGCTGGCCAAGGCCAAGTAGGGTTGTCATATCTGGGCTTATGGTCTCAGTGTTGTGCTCTTAATTTTCTCAAGCTTGAAGATCCCTTAAATGCCTGATTTATACAAAAACTGATTTTTTGCACTGTGTTGACCCTAAAGCAAGAAAAGGGGGGGCACCTGTGATCCTCCATAAGTTATTGGGTTCCAGCTCACATCAGCTCCAGCCAGCTGAGGATGATGGGAGTTATAGTCTCAATTCACCTTTAGGACCACAGGTTCCCCACCCCTGCCACAGAGAGAACCCCACTGCAACAGTTGCTCTTGGCCACACCTGCACACACCATCTGAATGAAGGTCACCAAAAACAGGTTTATCTATAATAGGGCAGCCAAAGTTTTTCAGAAGGGGGGGGAATGGGGGGATTCTGAGTACTTTGTTTTCCCAATCACCACACTGGGAAAAGGGGTTGTTTTGCCAAATGTTTCCCACCTTTTTTTTTTCTTCTCCTTGTTTCAGCTGCCGTTTTTTTTCTTTACCAGAACTAGCTCTGGAGCTTTGTGGCGATGCAAAATAGCAGATTGGCTGCCACTACTGCAGTTGTTGCTGTTGCTACTTTTAGCAGCAGAGGAGGAGGGAAACCTTAAGGGCAATGTAAGAAGCCATGTTGCCCCACCCCTACTAATGGCATGTCTCTCTCCCAGCAAATGGGTATAGCACAGCTCAGGAACCTCTGTCCAGATATTGTTAGACTTCAACTCCCATCAGCCCCAGCCAGTGTGGCCAATGGTTTGGATGATGGGATTTGGAGTCTAATGAGAGGGGCTGTGGCTTCCTCCATCCCCATGTTACAGATTTCCTCCTTCCAATGGGGAATATACAGCGAAATAGTCTCTATCAATTTCATTGCCACCAAACATGGAGGAAAATGTTGGAAGGTCATGTATGCTCAGTTCTAGGACGGCCATGGATCAATGGTGTGTTGCAAGTTGTCCAGGTCATGGAGATGGGGACCCTGTGGCCCTCCAGATGTTGGATTACACCCATCATCCCTGGTCATTGATCAAGCAGGTTGGAACTGATCCAAGTTCAGCAACAGCTTGCAGGCCACAGAATCCCTACCCCTGCTATAGATCATAGCAGTGGTACAAAATAGTCCCTGGTGTTGTTTTCATGTGTGTGTTGGTGGGGGCGGGAGCTTAAATCTGTGTCTGGACTGTACCACTCATGGAAAGTTTGTACCTGGCATGGCTGAAACCCTTTGATGTGCTTGCAGTAGGCGCTCTTGGGCAATGGAGTGGACTCCCTCAGGAATTGATGGGCTCTCCTTCACAAAAGGTATTTTAGCAGAGGCTGGATGCCCATCTGTAAGGGAACCTGTATGGCAGATCATGCACAGAGCAAAAGGTTCCTTCCAACTCTGATTCTTGGTAGGGGGTGGATTAGTTGGTGGCTGTATTTTTAAAGACAGAGGTACATCCAGCCATGGGACCCCCATACCTGCAGCTTGAAGTGGTCTAGTGCAGCCAACAGGTCTGCCACCTCAGTGACCACTAGGCCCTTATTTCTATTAGGGTACTTTGTCTGTGGTCAGCCGTGACTGTGGGAGTTGCATACCTCTTGCACTGCTTCAAAAGCAAGCAAATATCCTTATGTACTGTATCTTAATTCAAAGCTTTAAAAAGAATCTTGAGCAAAAGGCAGTTGTTTTGAGAACAGAGTTTCAAGACTTGTTCTGTGGTATAAATAGTAGAACTCATGTACTGTACATAATTTCCAGAGGAGTCTGCTTTTAAATGCAGAACAGAATACCTTTATAGTATGCATTTTAATCTTGTACCTTGATTTTTTTTCCTCCGCCCCCCCCCCCCGGGCACTGGTAGCATTAAACACCGCCTGCATTGAAATAATGGCACTTGTTGGATGAAACTAAATATTCTTGGTTCTAAAGTCCTCTTCAGGCATTCTTAAATTATCTCTCCCCACGGTAAGTGGAGGCACGCATGCCAGTTCTGCCCCCTCCAGACCTGGAGTCAGTAGTGGCTGGGGCCCATTATGACTTGTGGGGTGGAAGCCAGGGAGCCAACAGCAGGTGGCGCCAGAGCCCTTGACAGACAGAGCCAACTAATTCTAGTCTTATTCCCATCCTTCTCCAGGCTGAGTTCTGCAAGGGGCAATAATGAGACTAAGGAAGAAGGATCTTACAGCCAGGGCCATGCCATGGATTGGTTGTAGGTAAGAAGGCAGACAGGCGAGGGCTGGCTGGGGGCAGACTGAGGTTGGTGGGGCAGTGCTCCATTTACCCAAATGGAGCAACAGCCTCCACTGGTTGCTGTCGTTATGATCTGGAGCCTTGCGTTATGATGGGGAGGCTTCTAAGTGCATTCAGCAAAATTCACTTCCAATCGCCTTTTAGACCATGCCATTCAACATGGAAAAATCAGGGGTGGAGAAGGCAGGGGAAACATGGAGGGCTCCACTGTTGCACCATGGATACTATTTAGGAACCACTGAGCAGAGCTCAAGTGCCTCCAGAGTGAATGAAGCTGCAGTCCCAAGCACACTGCCTGTGAGTGTGATGGGGGAACCTTTGGCCTTCCAGATTTCATTGGACTACAACTCCCATCATGCCTGGCCACTGGCCATTCTGGTTGGGGCTGACGGCAGCTGGAGATCAACATCGCCTGGAGGACCACAGATTCCTATTCTTTGGCCTACGAAAGGGTGTCAGCCCTATTGTACTTAGTAGGATTTACTTCTAAGAAATGCATGTTTACAATCACACTGCAGTTCTGTGAACCGCCCTGAGACCTCTGTGTATAGGGCGGTATATAAATTCAATAAATATTAATTAAACAATGGGAAAAGTCCAGTTCTAAAGACACCAAGCTGTTGAAACAACTGTGACTGGGCAAGATAGTTGCTTTGATCATTGCCAGATGGCTTGTATGTATGGCTAAATGGAAGAAAACCTCTGAAGCACTGGCTAGGAAGGAATGACTTCAGAAACCAAACAGACATGGTGTGTCTAAAAGTACCTTAACTCTGTACACCAGGCATAGCCAGCATGGCAGCCTCCAGATGCTGTAGACTACAACTCCCATCAGCCCCAGCCAGCATGGCTAGTAGTCAGTTGTAGTCCAAAAGGTCTGGGTGGCACCATGCCAGCTGTGTCTGCTGTGCATCTCTTACTTCTGCAGTCTGTGAAATGTCAACAGACTCCTTTACAGCAACCAGTAAAATCCAAGGCTAGCTTCAGGTTCGAGCTGCCCAGCCATCTTATGAGCCTCCCTTATATACAAACCTTGCTACCGAGAGTAGGCAGCAGCAGCAGCACCGCACTCTGTAATAGCCGCCCCCCCCCCCATGATTTAGAAATGTAAATAGTGAGTACTTTGCACAGCCACCCATAGGTGGACCCTCAGCAGCTGCCCAGGAATGCTGTCTGCTGATACCAGAGCCAGTGAAACTGTTCCCATAAATTGTGTTTGAATCCAGAAAACGAATGTGTCAAAGAGAAGGCTAGTTTTCATCGTGCAAATGTTGTTGTTTTCTATCCTGTGATGAGCTGCTTATCTGGACCAGACCTTACAACTCCCCTGTATATCTGAGTTTTTCAAACATGCATGCTTTCAAAGTTCGAAGGAAGCATCCGGAGTTATTGTACTTTCCCAATAAGATTCAAACTTTTCCTGCTCTTTCTAATGTGCATTTAGTTCAAAGATGAGAAACTATTTTGCGCATGCAGTCAAAATTAAGAGAGATCTGTGCATTCCAAGTGTGCTCAGTTGGGGGTGCTATAGCCAATTTGTAAATTGGTTAAGGAGGGCAGAGAACGTTTCAAAAGTACACTTCTCGTGGAAAAATATACAAAGCAATAGAATATTTACCATGAAGCCTTTAAGCAGCAACTTACAGCTAATATGTTTCAAGCCAGGGGCAGCACTTCAGTCTTTGCTGACTTTATTTACCATATACAGTAAGTATCCCAGAAAGTGCTGTTACAGGTGAAAAGAAATTGCAGACGGTTAGGCATTTCTGCACGCTGTATCATGCAGTCAAGCTCAGTCTAGATGGGATGCTGTGGAATATAATCTTGACACTTTTCAGGTGAGCTAGATTCCTATTTTGCAGGATTGCACCCTTTCTAACGTGCTTGAAAATTAATCTTTGTGAGGGGGATTTTGGGTTCTAGAATGTCTGATCTTGAGCAGTACTTAGCACCCTGTGGAACAAATCTTGAAGTTTATATTCACTCAATAAAGGCCATCAGTGTGGAAGTCTGAATAGCCCAGATCTCAAATGTATGCTTGAATGGGAGGGGGGGTTAACAATCTCTTTTGCAAGAGTATTATGCCATATTATAGGATCTTGCTTTACATTTCAGCTTTTCCACAGTTGCCATAACCCCCCTCATGCCCATATGTTTTGATTCATGGAATTTAGCCATCACAGAATTCTTGCTCCGCCAAAGCCCATGACTCTTGCTATTTAGTTGAATGAAGGAATGAGATTTCTTTCTTGAAGGGTGCGCCCTGCTGCAGGTCCACCAATAACAGAAGCTAAGGGTGGTCCCACCCCATAGGCCAGTGGTAGCCAACATGGTGCCCTCCAGATGTTGCAGAACATCAGCTCCCAGCCAACAGTGAAGGGAGTTATAAGCCAGCAACATCTGAAGGCCACCATGTGATGGTGTAGGCAGAACATGCATTTGCCTGGGGCAGTGGGATTCCAAAGACTCCAGACTAATCAGCAAAATCTACTGAGAGGAATAACACAATTTTTCCTACTATCAGCTTCTTGAGGTAATATGGTTTAAGCTTTCCCAACTGCAGCCCCCCCCCACCCCACCCCCGCTCTTCCATTCACTAGTAAAGAACAAGAAAGGGGTTTTCAACTGGGAAAACTGTTACATGAGAGAACACAAACTGTCCCCTCTCCTGGACTCCACTGAAGAAATAGTTCCACGCCTCATACAATAAGATGCAGGGCTAATGACAGGCACGGGCGCGATTGATTTTCATTTAGGGCATCAACGTTGTTTGTGATACCCCTAAGGCTGCTGTCCTGGACACATAGGTCCACTCAGAAGAAAGCCCACTGAATCCATTGGGTCATAGTCCCAGGTGAACATCTGTAGGATTGCAGCCTTGGCTAGGAACATGTGCTGCTGAAGTCACTGGGGCTTACTTCTGAGTAGGCATGTCTAGGATTGCACTTTAAATGCCTTTCACTGATAGTTAACTGCCTAGGATAGCCTTAACAACAACATAAATGGGTCTATGGCAAATCAAGAACACAGCTCTGGAATAAATCCGTAGAGTTTTGATTGGAAATAGTAATCACCCAATGTAAAATATGACTGAATTTCATTCATCTAATTCTTAAATATGTTTGGCCTTATAAATTGAAGAGTCCCACTCCAAGATGGCAGTTGGCTTATCTTAAAAGAATAAGATTTGCATGATTTAATTGTGATTTTTCCCTGCCCTGCACTTTAGATAATTTGTGTCATTTCCATACATATATAGATATATAAATTTAAGTATGTATTTATAATTTAATTTTTTTGCCAAGTACTGGAATAAACAGTGAGCATATCTGGTATATGTCATTATTTATTTATTAAATTGCATTTTTTTAAAAAAGAAAAAGAAAAAATAACTCCATATGTTCATTATAAAGATTTGAAATCTATCGCAGCAACAAGAAAAGATGCAAGTTATTTTCTCTGCTTATTTTTATAATTAAAGAATGAGTAACATTATAAAACCTATGGTGGATTCCTTCTGAGAGAAAAATAAAAAAACCTATCCCATGCTAAGTGTCTGTCTTCTTTTTTGCAAAAAAAAAAAAAGGTTTTCACTTAAACTTCAGCTCAGATCATCCTTTGAATGTCAGCAAAATAGACTTGCAGCCCTGGCTGAATCAGGATACGTCCAGGGCCACGATCCGGACCATCAGGCAGCTACCAAGAATTTATGGCTGAATCTGGATATCTACCAGGAACCACCATCACTTCCAGACGACGTGTCTATTGAGTCTTTGTTTGCAAGGAGATCAAATGGTGTTGGCTATTTAATAAGAATTTACTGTGATTTGTTTGCATGGAGGACAGACGATGTTGCATCAAAGCAAGTGTTAATCCCACACTTGCTGGTGCATTTTCCCATCACTTTCCTTATCGCCAAAAGTATTTTGGGGAAGCAAGTTTGTTGCACAAGACCTCCCATTGGACTATAACTGTGCAGCCTGAAGTTGCCATGTTGTGACTGAATCCCACTTGAAAATAGTGACAGTCTGATCCTAGTCCTCCTCCACAGGTAAGGCGGTATGTATGGCTCCAAGAGGCAAATTCAAAAGCCCTTTCCATTCCCTCTCTTGGCAGCCCACTGTAGAAGGAGGAGGACTGGAAGACAGTTGTGGCAGCAGAGCTACTCACCACCAACAGAACACCTGAGCTGCCCATTGTTTAAGTCATCCCAGTGTAGCTCTGCTATGTATTCCTGTACCTTCCAACATTTCTCTGATGGAAATAGGGGCATTCTATTCAATAGTAGTAGTAGTAGTAGTAGTAGTAGTAGTAGTAAATTACTATTTATACCCCACATACCAGACTGGGTTGTCCCAGCCACTCTGGGCAGCTTCCAAAATATAAAAATAATAAAACATTGAACATGTAAAAACTTCCCTATACAGAGCTGCCTTCAAATGTCTTCTAAAGGTTGTATAGTTACTTATCACCTTGGCCCAGGGGTCGCCTAACTCCATACCCTCCAACACGTCTCTGATGAGAATAGGGACGTCCTAAGGAAAAGCAGGGCATTTGGGATCAAATCAGAAACCAGGGCAGTTTCTGTAAATCTGGAACTTTCCCTGGAAAATAGGGACACTTGGAGGATCTGCCAACATGGTGAGCTCAAAGAACAAAGCACTCTACTTTTATTTAGGGATGGACTGGTGTCCCTCATCACTTCCCCACACTCAGGAGCAGGTCAGCAAAGCTGACTTAAAGCTGAGCTTAGGGCTTGAATTTAATACAGAGCTGCTATCCCAGCAAAGACCTGAGGGGAGACTGGGAGGGCTCTTGGAGAGGTCCCTTCCCTTCCTGGTCATATGCTGGTTCCAAATGCACATGACAACAACAGCAACAATGTTATCTGTATCCCACCCATCTGACTAGGTTGCCCCAGCCACTCTGGGTGGCTTTCAGCATATACAAAAGCATAATAGAACATCAAACATTAAAAACCTCCCAATACAGGGTTGCCTTGAGATGTCTTCTAAAAGTAGTATAATTATTCATCTCCTTGATTTCTGATGGGCGGGCGTTCCACCGGGGGAGGGGAGGGTGCCACTGCCAAGAAGACTCTCTGCCTGGTTCCCTGTAACTTCACTTCCCACAGTGAGAGAACCACCAGAAGGCCCTCGGAAGAGGACCTCAGTGTCCGGGCTGAATGACACGAATGGAGATGCTCCTTCAGGTATACACTTTGAATTGTGCTCAGAAATGTACTGGGAGCCAAAGTAGGTCTTGTTTACATCTGCTTTCTCTCTGCCATTTTAGTGATGCCCTCTGGCTGCCATGCAAGCACTCTGCTGGCTCTGGACTTCTTGCAGTGCATCACACGACCTCTGTTCCTGGGGGACTGAAAGGAGAGAGGCTGGAGTTGAGGGAAGTAATTGGGAGATGGGCAATGTAGGCTGCTCTGCTATGACAACACTACCTTCAGCATCCCCATTGGGGATGGAGGTCTTTGTCAAGTCCCACATCTCTTCCTTGGGACTGACTTAAAACTCTGGGTGTAGGTAGCTGGTACTGTGTCCCTGAGGCAACCAATTCAGCATTCAATTGCAACGTACACTTCCCCATGTCAGAGCTCCATAGTCTTGGTATCACTGGTCTCTCTCTATATGTAAGCAGAAGGTTGAATCATGTGGAAAATGTCTCCCAAACTTTCCATTCTCTGTGTGGAGTAACTTTCAGTGATGTGGTTTTTTTTCTGGAAAAAATGTGAAACTGGAAAAGGATGAAGCTGGTTTACAATTTATTCCACTAGCAAATAGGTTACATTGCATAATTTTAAATGGGAATTTGAAGGGTGATTGGGACCTGGAGTGTGTGTATTTGGGTCCCACAATGGTGAGTGTAGTAGATTGTGTAGACATTTCACCTCCTTTCCTCAAACAGAGGTGGAATATATTATATGACAGAAAGTAACTGTTGACCTCTGTGGATTTTTCTTGATGCAAACCCCACAATTTTAAAAACATTTACTGGATTAGCAGGTTAGTTGTGACCTTATCGGAGTATGAAGAGTTCCAGTGGGAGTTACATTCCTGTTAGGCGAGAACCCTGCAGGGAGGGTTCCTAGGGCCATATATTTGGCCCCCACAGGCCTGAGGTGTTGGGAACCCCATGGCTGCAGTCTCACCTCCACCTCCAAAAATGTAGTGGAACCCACTGCTCTGGCTACCAATTCTGGCAGATCCCCATAACTCCGTATAGCCTGCCTATCTATCTATCTATCTATCTATCTATCTATCATCTATCTATCTAATCTGTTCAGGGAACAGTTAACTTACTAATAATTATACTAAATCTAGTAGATATTACAGGCTTCTAAACAAGTTAGTAAATGCACAACTTTTAAACTTCAGTTGCTTATTTTAAGTTATCACTCTTTGCGAATCTTATTTCTGGTTATTTCAATAGATCCACTAGTACCCAATATGTCCAGATTTTCATGGACATCCTCTTTTTTATGGTTAAAATCTTGGTCTGGGTGGATTTTTAATATTTGGCAAAATGTCCGAGAGGGTGTGTGTTTGTTTTGGTACCATTCTACTCATACCGTGCCAGAAGTTCCTTCGGCAACTGAGGGCAGAGGAGCAGCAACCGGCGGCTCTGCAGGCTCCTACTGAGCAAATTCTGAGGAGCTGCCCCTGCGTCCCACCCAGAGCCGTCTTTCCCATAGGGCTTAGTGGTTTGTTGCGCCAAGGCACCGGCCTCTCGGGAGCGCCCCAGCAAGTGGGGGAGCTGCGCGGCTTTGCCGGCAGCCTCCCCTTTCCCTGTACCCACCAGCTGCGCCTCACCAACCATATGGCTGGCAGGTGCGCAGCTTCCCTCCCAAGCTTCTGCGGGGATCGCTCTCCTCCCAAGAAGGCTTGGGAGGGAAGCTGCGTACCTGCCAGCCATATGGTTGGTGGGGTGCAGCTTCCCTCCCAAGCCTCTGCAGGGATTGCTCTCCCACAGCGGCAGGGGGGAGAGATGGGGGGGCACTATCTGTGGTAATTTGGGGGTGCTGAGCAGATATTTGCACCCCAACACCGCATCTGCTAAAGACGGCCCTGGTCCCACCTGGGAAGCGCAGCAGCAGGTACGTGCAGCCTCCCCCTTCCCTCGCTCTCCCGTCCCCTCCTGCTCCCCTGCCACTGAGGAGAATGGCAGAGGCTCACACCCCTTAGGTTTTGTGTGAGTGTCTGTCCATATGAGAGGGAGAGATAACTGGGAGGCAGTGGCAGCTGAGGCAAAGCCTTCTGCTCCTGGCTCCTGACCACCACCCTCTCAGGTGGTGGCCCTCGCTGCCCACCTGGGCCAGAATGTTGCTGCCTTGGAGAGGGAGCTGCCCTCGCTCTACTCTTCCTTCTACTGGACTGGCGCAACCAGGAAGCACAAGGGGCTGCATCAGAAACCACAGGGGTCTCTTTCTTTCAAGCTGTTTGCCTACAGTTTCCTGTCTCTGCCAGTCTTGAGAACAAACTCTGTTTTGTGGGAGGGGAGCAGGAAGAATTGGGCTCAGCACACAGAAGAAGACCCCCAGGATCTTGGCCCCAGGAAGAAGAGGGAGAGGGGCGAGAGGGAGGGAAGGAGCCTGTCACTAGCCTTGTTTAAATGTGTTGCTCTACACATTTGGCATTGCCCGTGTTTGCTGCCGAGTGCCTTAGAAGTGTGCTTACCCACAGGATCTCTCTCTTTTTTTTAATAATATTTATTAAAGTTTCAAAAAATGTTACAAAAATAAGAAGAAAAAAAGAAAAAAGAAAATACAAAATACAAAAAAATAAAAACAATTAAAAACAAATCAGTCTTTCCATATCTTATCTTTCATTTGCTTGTTTCCCTGACCTCCTCACACCTCCCTTTTTTGTATTCCAGTTCAATTAATTAATTCAGCAATTCCTTTCCCTCTTTGATTTTATCTTAATCTTTTATCTTAATCTTTTATCTTAATATATTATAACTTTAGATTACCACTTGTTAACAATCCATTTTTACATATTCCTTTATAACATTGCTGCTAAAAACCCCTTAACTTCAATCCAACATCATTCTAACATTCATTAATTTTGCAGTATTTCTGTAGATAGTTTTTAAATTTCTTCCAATCTTCTTCCACCGACTCTTCTCCCTGGTCTCGGATTCTGCCAGTCATTTCCGCCAGTTCCATATAGTCCATCACCTTCATCTGCCATTCTTCCAGAGTGGGTAAATCTTGTGTCTTCCAATACTTTGCAATAAGTATTCTTGCTGCTGTTGTAGCATACATAAAGAAAGTTCTATCGTTCTTTAACACCAATTGGCCAACCATGCCCAGGAGAAAGGCCTCTGGTTTCTTCAGAAAGGTATATTTAAATACCT